AAGAACTCTCTGGCTACCTAGCCTGGCTCAGATGGAAAGCTTCCAGCTCAAGGAGAGATCCTGTCTCAAGGCAATACAGCAAAACGCTCTGGCCTATGCATCGTGCACGTGCGCGCACACACAGACACCAGTACACTGCACACTCATGTGAACAGCATGCACACTCATGTGAACAGCATGCATGTGCACACACACACAAATCATACAAATAAATAAAGTATCTAGAGCATCTGTAAGTAGCAGCATGTGTCTTTCTTCATATGTGATGTCCTAATTCCAAAGCTGGAGGCTTGCATCCTATCAAACTAAACTTAGTGGTAGCTTAGTGGTAGGGTATTTGCCTAGTACATGCAAGGCCAAGGGTTAGATATTTATTACTCACTGTTGAAGACAAAGGATTCTCTAAAAACATTTGTGGTGGTCTGAATGAGAATTGCTTTCACAGGCTCTAATATTTGACTGCTTTGTCTGTCAGTGGTGGAACTATTTGAGAAGGATTAGAACAGTGGTTCTCAACACTTTAATGCAGTTCCTCATGCTGTGGTAACCCTCAATCATAAAATTATTTTTGTTACTATTTCATAAATATAAGTTTGCTAGTGTTGTAAATCATAAATATCTGATATGCAACCCCTGTGAAACGGTCACGACCCACAGGTTGAAAACTACTAAATTAGGAGGTGTGGCTTTGTTGGACCAGGTGTATCACAGGGGATGAGCTTTGAGGTTTCAAAAGCCCACATCATTCCCAGTTAGCCTGTCTGTCTGTCTGTCTGTGTGTGTGTGTGTGTGTGTGTGTGTGTGTGTGTGTGTGTCTGTGTCTGTGTCTCTGTGTCTCTGTGTCTCTGTGTCTCTTTCTCTCTGCCTAATGCTTGTGGATCAAATCCAGGTCTTCATCTACCACTGCAATACCATGTCTGTCTGCCTGCTGCCTGCTGCCATGGTTTCCACCATGATGGTCATGGGCTCTCTAACCCTCTGGAATCATGAGCCTAATTAAATGTTTTCTTTTATAAACATGCCTTGGTCATGGTGTTTTGTTATGGCAATAAAAGACAACATTTCTAAGCAAAATAAAACTGCATTATCAAAGAGAAATAAATTGAGACAATATTCTATTCTGAGCTGCAAGAGGATCTCAAGGTGAAGAACAGCCGGATCTACATGCTATGACACTGTCTCAACAAAACAAAGGCAAATCCCACTAAAATTACCTGAGATTTTCTTCTTTGTTCTTTTACAGCATTAGAAAACAAAAACAAAGGAAGCGTTCAGTCTTACACATAGCACTCCTTACTATGCAGTTATCATGGTAGAAAAACATATTTTAAAAACTTCATGTAGCCAGGTAATGGTGGCCACACACCTTTAATCCCAGCACTCAGTAGGCAGAGGTAAACAGATCTCTGAGTTCAAGGCCAACCTGATCTACAGAGTAAGCAAGGACTACATAGAGAAACCCTTTCGCAAAAAAAAAAAAAACCACACAAACCAAAAGTTTCATGCTTTTCTTTTCCTTTGTGGGGGGTGGTACAGGTGATTGAAACTATCAAGGGATTTTCCAAAGTTAGGCGGTATTATACCACTAAATTATTATTGTAAGTACCTAAAGTGTTCATTTATGCCCATTGTGTTGCAGGTGAGACATTTTTTTCTAACAAGTCTATGTTTAAGCTCCTGCACTGATAATATTGAAATCACATCCAATGTTCATATCTCTTCTCAAAGTTGTCTTTTAGTCAGGTCTGGTGGCACACACCCATAATCTCAGCACTTGGGGAGGCTGAGGCAGTTTGACAAGTTCAAGGACATCCTGGGACACAGAGTGAGATCTGTCTCAAAACAAACAACAAAAATTGTTTTCATATATGAAATTTATCAGTTCAATAAAGTAAAAGTACGCTTTGAAATTTCAGATATGTCAGGTTTATTTGCCAATCAACCAATGGTTCTAACACTGTTCTAAAAGTTAAGGCCTCTCAATGGCAAGAGATCACATTGTTCAGTTTCAATCTTACAAGTCTAACTAAATGGAACTGGAGAGCTGGCTTAGCTATTAAGAACACTTCTTGTTCTTCCAGAGGACCTGAGTTCAGTTCCCAGCACCCCCACCAGGCAGCTCACAATCACTGTTAATTCCAGCTCTAAGGGATAACATACTTTTCTGGCCTCAGAGAGCATCCAAACATACATTTTATATAGACACACACACACACACACTCTCTCTCTCTCTCTCTCTCTCTCTCTCTCTCTCTCTCTCTCTCTCTCTCCCCTCTCTCTCTCATATACACCTTCAAAATTAAATTTTTTTAAAGTTACTTAAAGTCTATATAAATAGGACATGACATTTGAGAGCATTTTAGTAGACTACCTACCTTCAGCAATAACCTAGCTCAATTTTATGACCCAATATTTACTTGGATGATAATGTGATGGGAAAGAAAATGAGTAATGTTTATATTAGTAAAGATTTGGTCAGGATTCCTATGTATGTCAATACTTCTTGATAATATGCTATATTCTAAGCAAGACTGTCTAAACACGAAGTTATTAACCTCTGGGGGAAACCAGAATACAGTCTATCCTCTATGGTGTTGGGAGTGTTAATTTTTTCAGTAGAGGAAAATTTCATTAACTTTTGGGCACAGTGTAAAAGCAAAATGACTAAAAGTTCCTCTGTTTACACATTTAAAATTTATTCATATCTTACAAACATACATATAACATCACTGTAACTACAATTTCACACTTCCCAATATGATTCCACATGAAGCACTGTCACTTGGGAAAACACTAGTTACACTGATCTATTTACAGCTTCACCAAAATAGCTCATGTCATTTCAGTATTTAATATAGCAGTTACAGTTCACTTGTGAAGGATTAAACCTCCTTTCTAAAGTTTCGTTTGGTTAAAATGACACACTATGGTGCATGTCTAAAATCCCAGCACTCAGGAGGTGACAGTAGGAGGTTCAGAAGTTCAAAGTCAGCCATTACATAACCAGTTCAAGGAACTGGGCTAAAATGCTCTAACCCTCTCTCTCTCTCTCTCTCTCTCTCTCTCTCTCTCTCTCTCTCTCTCTGTCTCTCTCAAAAAAAAGTTTCGAATAAATAATCACATTTATTGTCCAAAACACATTGTCTGAACACGGTGTTCCTTTGAGAAGTCTGAAATTTAGAGATTCAGAGAACTGGTATCTGATGAAGGGAAACAAGCTTGTTGTCAAAAACTGGAAGAATGATGATGTGGCCGGAGTTACTAAATGAAGGACTAAAAATTCAAATTAATATAAATTTATAAAGGAAAATTTAACTCCTTAAATCAGGAGTGCTATGATCCCCTGCTCTCAGAGAAGCAGAGGTGACTGCCCACCACTCCTGTTAACATTCCTTTGCTAATTGCTGGTTGTAAAGATTCCCCAGCCCAGGGAATAATTGACAGACTCTGTAACACCTCCCCACCAACCCCATGCCCTGTCTTATCTCAGTCAAATGTATCTCCCTTAAAATGTATAGTTACTAACTCTGTACTTTGAATGACCTTAAGTAACCATAGAAACTCTGTAATTTGTGGCCTTCAACTAAAGAACCCCAGCCTAAGATGTTTTCTTTACAGATTGCAGTCGGTCACCTGAAACAAGCCAATCAGAACTGTTACCCTCGTTCACCCCCAGACCCCATCTGTTTGCAGTTTTTTTTTCCTTTAAGAAGCCCCTAGCCCCCAGCTCGGGAGTCCAGTTCCTCTGCTCCTGCGAGAATAACGAGTTGTGCCGGGAGGAGCCGGTTACTAACAAAGCCTCTTGCGGTTTGCATCAAGTCCTCTCCTCCGCCTGGTGACTGGGGGGTCCCACCCCGTGGGGGTCTTTCAAAAACACGAACATCAATTATTAATGTGGTGCTGGATGAGGGCAGTCGAATGGGCCCCGAGTCACACAGCGCAGAAAAGCAGAAAGCCACAAGCTAGAAGGGGGCTCTAGCTTGACTTTGGGGCGATGGCGAGCAGACAGCAGCTTCCCCGGGTAGGGTGCGGGCACCGTAAACGCCTGCCAGGGAAAGCTGGCGGTTGGAGACACATGTAACAGGCGACAGGGGGAAGAACTGTGCTGGATTCGTCTCCCTGCTCCGCGGGTCTGGGAACTCAGTAGTTGACGCCCCTGAACAAGTCACGAGAGACCCCTGGGACCCCCAACTGAGACTCGCTGTGCTGCTCCCCTCCACACACCGGCTCTGCAGTGTGTGGGGCCCCGATGGCTCGATCGTGGAGTGCCTGCGCCTCGCTTTCTGAAGACACGGGGTACGTTATTTCCTATCTACAGCGCGTACGCCAAGCTGGGGTGAAAGCGCTGCGGCGGCCCCAGGGCTGTGGCGAGCAGGCCCGACGCCCTCTGGGCGCCTTTTTCCCGTCAGACTGAGGAGCCCAAGGGGCAGCCAGGCTC